GAAAAGAAACAGACTCACAGATATAGAGAACAAACGAGTTGTTACCATTGGGAAGAGGGAAGGGGGAGGGGCAAGATAGGGATATGGGATTAAGAGATACAAACTACTGTCTATAAAATAGATAAGCAAGGGACCTCCCTGGTGGCGCAGTAGTTAAAAACCCACCTGCCAGTGGTTAAGAATCTGCCTACCAGTGCAGGGGACACAGTTTCGAGCCCTGGTCTGTCTAGGAAGTTCCCACATGCCGCGGAGCAACTAAGCCCATGAGCCACAACTACTGAGCCTGTGCTCTAGAGCCCGCAAGCCACAACTACTGAGGCCGCGTGCCACAGCTACAGAAGCCCGTGTGCCTAGAGCCCGTGCTCCGCAACAAGAGAAGCCATCGCAACGAGAAGCCCGCGCACAGCAATGAAGAGTAGCCCCCGCTCACCACAACTAGAGAAAGCCTGTATACGGCAACAAAAGACCCAACGCAGCCAAAATAAATAAATAAATAAATAATAAAAGAAAATATATAAATTTATTTAAAAAAAAAATCTGCCTGCCAATGCAGGGGACACGGGTTCGAGCCCTGGTCCAGGAGGATCCCACATGCCATGGAGCAACTAGGGCAATGTGCCACAACTACTGAGCCTGCGCTCTAGAACCCATGAGCCACAACTGCTGAGCGTGCATGCCACAACGACTGAAGCCCGCGTGCCTGGAACCCGTGCTCTGCAACAAGAGAAGCCACTGCAATGATAAGCCCGTGCACCTCAACGAAGAGTAGCCCCTGCTCGCTGCAACTAGAGGAAGCCTGTGTGCAGCGACGAAGACCCAATGCAGCCAAAAATAAATAAATAAAATTTAATAATTAAAAAAAAGTTAATAAAATAGGTAAGCAACAGGATATATTGTACAACACAGGGAAATTTTGTAATAACTTTAAATGGAGTATAATCTATAAAAATATTGAATCACTGTGTTGTATACCTGTGGCTAATATATTATTTTAAGTCAGCTATAGTTCAATTAAAAAATCCTTATACCTTTAATATTTTTACTTGTGTTCCAACCTCTAGTACACTGTTATATAGAAGCAGTGATAGGCATTCTTGTCTTGATCCTAATGTGAAATAAACAGTTTTAATGTTTCACTATTAAGTATGAAGTTTGCTGTAGGTTTTGGTAAATACCCTTTATCAGCTTAAGGAAGTTCATATATTCCAAGTTGGCAAAGAGTTTTCATAATGAATATGTCTAGAATATTATGTTTTACACACATGTATATCTCAGATAGTAGATATTTACATATCTTATATGGTATATGTGACCTATGTTATATAACATATACTGTACTAGTGTATATATGTGTGCGTCGAAGAAGAAAATCCATACAACTATTTCAGTACATATTTCTCTGTACTGAAAGAGACACAATGGGAGAGATAATGGGAAATAGATAATGGGAGATGGGACAGCTGAATTTTAAGGGGGTAGTGTTCATACAAAGGTCTGGTACTTATTCAGAGGTGTGGAACAAGGGATCCAAAGTGAGCAGTTTTCTTTAGGAGTCTGGAGCTGAGTTATCTCTGCTTATAGGTCACACTGAACTCTAAAAACTCTCCCCAGGTACTTTGGCACCCAAGGATTAATTAGATAATTCTAGGGCAATGGATACAAAAACTCTTTATTCCATTTTTATGGAGAAACAGATCACTAAACTCTTTATTTATTTAATTTATTTTTGGCTGTGTTCAGTCTTCATTGCTGCGCGTGGGCTTTCTCTAGTTGCAGAGAGCCGGGGCTATTCTTCGTTGTTGTGCGTGGGCTTCTCATTGCGGTGGCTTCTCTGGTTGCGGAGCACGGGCTCTAGAGCACAGGCTCAGTAGATGTGGCACACGGGCTTAATTGCTCTGTGGCATGTGGGATCTTCCCAGACCAGGGCTCGAACCTGTGTCCCCTGCATTGACAAGCAGATTCTTAACCACTGTGCCACCAGGGAAGTCCCTAAACTCTTTATTAAAAACATGCATTTGGTAAATCTAGTTGGCTACATGGGGGTTTACACTGTGATTCTCTTTATTGCTACGTATATTTTTCATACCAAGAAAGTTTTTTTTTTTTTTTTTTTGGCGGTACACGGGCCTCTCACTGTTGTGGCCTCTCCCGTTGTGGAGCACAGGCTCCGGACTCGCAGGCTCAGCGGCCATGGCTCACGGGTGCAGCCGCTCCGTGGCATGTGGGATCTTCCCGAACCGGGACATGAACCCGTGTCCCCTGCATCGGCAGGCAGACTCTCAACCACTGCGCCACCAGGGAAGCCCCCAAGGAAGTTTTAAAAGAAAAATTTTTAGATAACTTTATTAAGTAGAGTGTAAAATAATCTCATCATCCAGTCATTTAACAAACATTTATTGAATGTTTATTATGTGGCAGTTACTGTGCTAGTCCATATGGGAGTACAAAGATATATAAGGTACATATAAGTGCTATCAAATATGGTAAAAAAATAATGTGCAGAAGGAATTAAGAGCTGGGAGGGACTCCTAGCTGGTGTGACCTGTACCACTTATTGGGGAAGACACAGGATAGAGAGCATGAATTTCTAAAGAGCCCATAGGGAGGCTGTGAAACTATAATGCAGAGTGGTACTAACATGCCTCTTCCCTTTCTTTTTGTGGGTCTCTTGCCTATGCCCAGTTTCTTAGTGGAGGTTGTTAAGTATTTTCAACAGCCGGGGAACTGAGGCTAAGAGTAAGTTTCACTCTGCTGTCTTGGTTTTTTGTTTTTTTAAATTTATTTATTCATTTATTTTTGGCTGTGCTGGTTCTTCGTTGTTGCGCAGGGGCTTTCTCTAGTTGCAGGGTGAGTGGGGGCTATTCTCCATTGCTGTGCGCGGGCTTCTCATTGCCTTGGCTTCTCTTGTTGTGGATCACGGGCTCTAGGCGCGCGGGCTTCAGTAGTTGTGGCACGCGGCTCTAGAGCGCAGACAGTAGTTGTGGTCCACAGGTTTAATTGCTCTGTGGCATGTGGGATCCCCCTGGACCAGGGCTCGAACCTGTGTCCCCTGCATTGGCAGGCGGATTCTTAACCACTGCACCACCAGGGAAGTCCCCTGCTGTCTTGGTTTTAAAAGTTCAGTTTGGATTGGAGCATTGTCCTTGATTCCAAGAAATATTTCAATATTAAGAAACAGAAAAAGGTTTTTAAAAGCATAATTGTGACTCCAAACCTGCCATGGAAAGACTGATTTCAGTTACTTTCTAGGACAACCCTATGTTCTAGGCATTATCATTTCCTTTTAACCTGCTCAGGTTTTTAATTTACAAGGGTCAGAAAACCCATAGTAATGCCATCCTACCTCTGTTTCTGGCTAGGTTAGTTTAACCTGTCTGGGCTTGTTTCCTCAGCAGCAATAACTGTCTTGCCAATTTCACAGCAGTAGAGGGATCAAACAATGTAACAGATGAAAACACTCCTTGAAGACCATAAAAGCACTAAATGTAAGTGAACTATCACTGTTATTTTTAAAGTCTTATCCATAATCTTGGGTATAATGCAGGGCTGAGTGAGTCTAAGGTTGTAACTGAGTAGGACCTTACATCGCCTTCCCAGGACAGGCCTTTCCCCACATCCTCTGCGTTAGTTCTTCTCTGAATTACATAGATAACAGTATTTGATGCACACTTCCTGAGTTGTTTTACAGGTGTGAAAAACCCCCACCAAACGGATGATATTAACTACTTGATGACCATGAACACATAGCCCCAGGCCTCCTGGAGCCTAAGGACTGATAATGTTAACCCCTGTGACACTGCCCTGTTACCTCACCATCAGCCAATCAGAGAATTGTTCATGAGCTGATCACATACCCTGCGACTCGCCTCCCTCATCTGGCCTTTAAAAATGCTTTGCCAAAACCCTTTGGGGAGCTCAGGGATTTTTTGGGCCTGAGCCACCGGTCTCCTTCAATGGCCCTGCAATAAACCTTTCTCTGCTCCAGACTCCGACGTTTTGGTTTGTTTGGCCTCACTGTGCATCAGGCACACGAACTTGCGCTAACAAGGTGGCCAGACTTCACTGTTCCTGGTAGGTTTTCCACAGCCTCTGCTTCAGAATAAAAAAATTCCTTACATCCAGCCTTTACTTTGTTGACAGTTCGACACCCTCTTTATCTACATGCCCTGCTTGCTTTTTTGAGAGTGAGTGTAAATATAGGACAGCATTCTCCAAAACAGAGGAAAGAAGAGTATTTTCCTTAAAGACATGCCTTGTGAGTGCAGCCCAATCAACATTTATTGAATTCCAAGACAACAGAAGCTGGAGGTACACAGATGCAAAAACAGGGCATCTGCCTTGAGGAGCTTAAGAGCCCATCAACTGATAGTGGTAACCTGCTTCCTGTTAGGAGAGTGGGAGTTTCCTTCCACTTGCAGGATTGCTGAAGCCGCAGACCAGGAGGGGCAGAGGAGGACCCAGCTCGGCTCTGGAGGCCGTGGGCTACATGAAAGCTCCCGCGCCCCCTTAGTGTTTGCGACTTGGAAGGCACCCCTTCTGCCATTCCCCTTTCTTGGTGCCGGGAGAAGATAAAAGATCCTTTTCTACTACTATAGTAGATACATCTCAAATCAGGACTTAGGACTTCAGCGCTTCAGCCCTCACTCCCTCCTAAGGAGCCACTGCACACTCCAGCGGAGGAACGGCGGCGGAGCTCCAGGGGGGGGGTCCCCAAAGAGCTGAGCACCTTAAAGTCCTCCTTAAGGAGCTCGCTGTCTCCGGCCCCGCCCCTCGTGGAGTCCCGCCCCCGACGCGACCTCGTCCTGTGGCACCGATTGGTTGGCTCCTGTGCGTGAAGACGTTGCGTCGTGGGGCGGGGCGGAGGAGCGTTGTCTGTAGGTCCTCAGCCCTGTGTCCTCGGCCACCGCCCCCGCTGCTGCCCTGTATCCGCCCCTCGCCTGCCTTTAGAGGGTACAGGCGACAGCAGTTTCTCAAGGTGGTCGAACACCCGCCAAACGTCTCCGTCGAGCTGCCTTTTCTAGTTGGCGGCTCCTCTGGGCTGCGTCCAGGGCGGGGGGTGGGGAAAAATGGCGCCGGCGCCCCAAGGCGTCCGGGAGGAGCCGCTGCTGGAGTGTAGGTCCGGACTGCTTTCCCGGCTGCTCTTCCTCGCCCAGGCAGTCCTCCTCCTGCTGCCGGCCGCCCGGGCAGGCCTCTGCCCCGCGCCCTGCTCCTGCCGCATCCCTCTGTTGGATTGCAGTCGCAGGAAACTGCCAGCGCCCACCTGGAGGGCGCTGTCGAGCTCACTGCCCCCCGACGCCGTCAGCCTGTGAGTAGAGTTGTCGGGCGGGGGAACCAAAGGAAAGGGGGTGCTCCCCTTCCTCGAGGGACTGGAGGGAGACGGGCCTGGTCGGAGGGCGCGGCCGGGAGCCTAAGTTCTGAAGGGGAATGCCATTGCGATGTTGTGAACTTTTTTTTGTGGGGGGTGGTGGTGGTTGGAGCCTGAAAACCTGGTGTTCAGGTTCTGGAGACTTGTACGAAGACCAGGGTTAAAATTCTTGGGAGCAGGGAGTCTCTGATTCCTGGGCTGGGAGGAGTTGGGGCGGTGATACTGTTAAGGGCTCACTGGTCCTGGGCTCCGGCATTGGCTCTTGAATGGTTGGGGCTCCTCGCTCATTTTGGGCTGCATCATCCTGTGCATCAGCTTGAATGGTCCCCAAGCACGTGATTTTATAACCACGATCATAAAGACTTATGAACTGTTTTTTGGCTGTAGTTCAGGTTTTGGCTAATTTTGTGCTGTATTTTTGACAACTGGGTTGAAACTTCATGTGTTAACTACGTCCAGTATCACCTTGAACAAATATCTTTATAAATAGCATTTTGGATCTAATTTAGGATTCACCTTGTAAAGAAGGGAAGGCGTATCTGTTACAAAATTAAGTGTTTTGTTTTCAGTGCATTTCCTTGTGGCAAAGACCTTAAAAATCAGTCCTTTTTGTTTATGTATGAGAAGCAAGTACAATGGTTGGATGAATTCTTCCGGAGACTCCACTGCAGAGTGCTCAACTTGACAGGCCTGTGTTAGACAGTGGCACCTGGAGAGCTCATTAGTCTGAGTCAGCTTGGTGGCATTAGGAGCAACAGTAGGTATTAAATGCTGCAATTATGGGGCTTGTTAACCACTAACATACGGTTATTTCTCTGCCGCTAACTGAGCAATGTATTTATTGACAGACTTGTAACAGAGTCATCTCTAAAAAAAGACCTGTCACAAAAAAAAAAAAAAAGCTCGAGGTGTGATTAAAATATGAGGGGATGTTTGGATTTCTATTGGAAATGGAATACAAATAGAAGGTCTCTCTCTGCAGAGGTTAAAGTGTGTTTACATTTGCAAATAGCTTATGTTAGATAGGAAAGGAAGCTACCTCATAAATTCCTTGAGAAAATTAAGGTAACTTAAATAACCAAATGTAGTAACATAGATTTGCAGTGTAATAAGGTGTTTCCTGTTGTTTTATGATAGTGACACCTGTAGCTAATTCTGGTTCTGTTGATGTAAAAAACATTTAGAAATTCATATCAGTTGCGGTATAGTCTGAATTAAACCTAGCATAACATCTTAGTAATGCAGTAACTACCTTTTTCTAAGAAATTCTTGGAACAACTACCTGATTATGACAAACTGAATCTGATTATGACAGTCTAAATGTGGTGCAGGTTTAAAAACAACACAACTTCATTTAGCTGTAATTGAAATAAATGTGGCCTACTTTTTAAGATCCTCCATTGGTAGATAAACAATAATTAGAAATAGTTTTATGTAAGATACATTTATTTTGTGTCTAGGTTTAATTTTTTTTATCAAGACAAATTGCCTAAAACCAAATTACATTCAAAAATTTTAAATGTCCTATAATGAAATTGACATTTTCAGTTGAAGTGAAATGCCTTGGAGAGCAATTCTCTTGTAGAAATGTAATTGGATGGAAGTCTTACATTAGCAGAAGAACTCTTAGAATATTAAAAGATGAGGTTGTGCTGTTTTAAACTGAGAAATGTAATATTTTTCATCAGTTGCCTTCAGCTGTAAAACAGGTGCATGTGGTTTTCTTTATGTAATTTTGAATTTTTAAAACACATGCAATGCTTTAAATGTATTAGTGATTCAAATGCTCAGACTTGCAGCAATCATGAAAAAGATGGTGGACAAAATTCCTTAACCCTGGGTTTTAAAATATGTATCTGCCCCCAGTTACTGGCACAGAGCCCCTGCAACCCTTGTATCAATAATTTCCAAAGTGATAGGAGAATTAGGAGCACCTTTCCTTTTTCTATTTGGTCTTTGACCCTGATTCCTGGCACAGAGCTCCTACATCTCTTGGAATCTCGTGGGTGATAGGAGTATCTTTTGACCTAATGAGGTGACTCTTGGTGGGCTCCTGGATAGCTTAAGGATTGGGGTGGGTCACCAGAAAGACCAAGCTGTGCTTAGAAGCTTGGAACTTTCAGCCCCACCCCCCCATCCTACAGAAGAGGAGAGGGGCTAGAGATTGAGGTAGTAATTGATCGTGCCTATGTGGTGAAGCCTCCATAAAAATTTCCAAAGTATGGAGTTCAGAGAGCTTCTGAGTTGGTGAACACATCTACCAGGAGGTATGCTGTGAGGGTGGTGCATCCCAACTCCATGGAGACAGAAGCTCCTGCACCAGACCCTTCTGGATCTCGCCCTATGTATCTCTTCCTCTGGCTCTTCATCTGTGTCCTTTATCATGTCTTTTGTTATACAGTTAACCAGTAAACGTAAGTAAGTATTTTTCTGAGTTCTGTGAGATATTCTAACAGTGCTTGAGTCCAAGGAGGGGGGTTGTGGCAACCTCCAATTTGTAGCCAAGTTGGACAGAAGTTGTTGGTAACATGGGGAGCTACTACTTGTGATTGGTTTCTGAAGTGGGAGGCCGTCTTATGGGACTGAGAGCTTAACCAGTGAGGTCTGCACTAACTCCAGTTAGTGTCAGAATTGAATTGAATTGCAGGACATCTAGCTGGTGTTGGAGAATTGGTTGGTGTGGGGAAAAAGCACACATCTAGTGTCAGAAGTACTGTGTGTGTGAGTAAAGGAAGAAACCAGTGACAAAAATTTTTTGGTTGAGCAAACTTTAGTCAGGCTCCTGAACCTTATCCTGGGCCATCTGTGCACACCCTTGTAAAATGCAGTTTTAGCAGTAACCCTGCTAAGTTAGTTTAGTAGGAGTCCCCCACCCTCAATGTCTGATCAGGTTCCTCCTCCTGCACCATCCCCCAGGTGATATCTGAGTACCCTGGCCTGTCTTTAGCAAGAATCCTGTTGGGTCTGTTTAGTTAAAAACCCCCTTACCAGATGTTTTCTCTTAGTAATTTTCCATTCACCAACCCCACTCTGCTCCTTAGCTATAAGTTTTCTCTTATTCATGGAGTATTCAGAGTTAAGCCTAATCTCTTTCCCCCACTTTAAAGTTTCATTGTAGTGGTTCCTTTATGTATCGAGAAAGCCCCATCCCCCAAAGTCTTCCTTACCATGCTTTAACAAGTATCATTGAGTATTTTTTTTCCTTTTAACAGTTATGGTGCCACAACTCGGGATAGGATCAGATTCATCATTGGACCCCCGGACCTCTCACCCAGGACCCTAAGTGCGTACCTTTGAAGCCTTTATCTTCACTCCTGACTGATTGATCGGGGATCCATTGTTGAGTCCGACTCCTGAACCATTGCTCCGGACTAACGTCCGTGGAAGCTGGTAAGGACAGATTTTGATTGTTAAGAGTCTGAGTACAGTTGACCTTGAACAACATGGGTTTGAACTGTGTAGGTCCACTTATATGCAGATTTTCTTCAATAGTAAATACTCCAGAACTACACGGTCCATGGTTGGTTGAATCCATGGATGCAGAACCTTGGATACAAAGGAACTGCACGTATGGAAGGCAATTACAAGTTTTTTTTTTTTTTTTTGTGGTACGTGGGCCCCTCACTGCTGTGGCCTCTCCCGTTGCGGAGCACAGGCTCCGGACGCGCAGGCTCAGCGGCCATGGCTCACGGGCCCAGCCGCTCTGCGGCATGTGGGATCTTCCCGGACCGGGGCCTGAACCCGTGTCCCCTGCATCGGCAGGTGGACTCTTCAACCACTGCGCCACCAGGGAAGCCCCAATTACAAGTTATATGTGGATTTTTAACTTTGCAGAGGGTCGGTGCTCCTAACCTTAGTGTTGTTCAAAGGTCAACTGTATACTCCAGAAGTTGGGATAGAGTCCCAGATAAACACAGGCTGGGTTAGAGTCCCAGGTTTCTCTGTTTGTAAGAAAGCTCAGAGTCCTAGGCTTCTTTGTCTGAAAGGTACTTACTGGGTTGGAAATCTCTCCTTCCTGGCTCTTTTTTTCCTGAGTGGGGATTATTTATTCCCTGACTCTTTGGGCTGGAAGTCTCTTCTTCCTGGCTCTTTTTTAATTATTCCCTGACTCCTTATGCTGGAAGTCTTTCTTCCTGGCTCCCTGTGAGGCCTCTTTGTTCCCTCTCTTGGGTCCTGCTTTTCCCATGAGAATTTATTAGATGGCTCAAACCCCCTTCTTGAACCCCTGCTGAGTATATTCTGTCTCCCTCCATTCTTGTTGGCATCCTTTTGTTGAGGATAATGTGGAACTTCACAGGCTTCTTTTGGAAACTTGTGACCTCTCCACACTGGCTCTGCTAAGACGTCTCCCTTCTCATTGCTTCTGCTCCTCCTTTGCCCTCTCACCACCTTCAGTCTTTCCTCCAATTCCCTTGAATACTATGATATGTCCTTCTCAAAGCCCCTTCATCCTCCATCCCCTGCCAGACCTTTTTCCACCTCAGTCCTTATAGTCACTTGATCTTTGGACCCCCTGCCCCACTAGAGGCTGTTAAGAAACTTAGGGACCCCCCAAAACAGCTACTTGAAGCTGAAAAGGAAAAAGGTTAATTGGAAATAGACTGTATGTTTTCAGCAGTTAGATGGGCTTTGGAGACCTGCAGACAGCCTCTAGATGCCTCTAGGTGTCTCCTTGGTCAACACCTAAAATTTGGTCCATAGCCTCCGTAAGATTACATATCAGGGCAACGGAAGGTGGTCTGTACAAAATTGGTAAACAGGTAACCTAAACTTGTCCCATTTGCCATAAACACAATTCACATAAAAACATAGAGTAGAGAAAAGACAAGAGATTATTATTTTATATAAACCAGTGAGTTTGTATTACTATGTTTTACTAAGTAACTCATGACTAAAATTTCCCAGTGAAAACTTGAGATCTCCATTAGCATCTGTCTGTA